CACTGAACAGCCGAAAAAGAAACTCTCCACTCTGACAGCAGCCATATGTTCACTACACAACTCAAGGACAAACTCCCCCCCCCCCTCCCCCCCGCTCCTGATGATGCTGCAGCCCCACAGGTCACATGATGCAGTGTGACTAAGCTCAGGCAGCTGCCGTCACACAAACACTCACTGTCAGATCACAGAGCGATCGATCAATAACTGATGACGAAGTTCTGCTGTGTGACAGAGACGATTAAAATACTTCACCTGTGATCATAACCCTCCAGATTAATACAAAATATCCATCTATCAATAATCAATAGACAAGTGTTTCATGTGAGGTGAACGACAATGGATAAATACCAGCCGATACAGTCTGTGAGAGCAGACCAGTGTCTTATTATTATTATTATTATTATTATTATTGTTATTTTTATTTTAATGTGTATTTTTATTAATTATTATTTTATTACTAATTATTATTCATTTATTTATTTTTGTCAGTTGATTTTGTATTTATTCATATTCCTTTTTCATTTATTTATATTATCTTCAATTTTATTTAATTCCTAATCATTCTTCTATTTACATAATTTGATGACTATAATTATAATTATAATTATTTTTATTGTTGTTTTTGTTATTTTTCAGCCTCAGTCTGATTAAAGTCACAATATTTATTCAGAGTTTTGTGTTCATGAATTATTGATCCATCCTGTGAACCAATCAGCTTTCTGTCAGAGGGAAACCTTGTATGTCCGACACTGACAGCAGACTAAGTGATGGTTCATTCTGATGGTCGTATTGATCACAGTGTGTTCTGATCAATCGATCAATAACAGACGTCTGCTCTCTGAGTGTTGGCACCTCCACAGCAGAGGAGAGGAGGCTCAGCCGTCCACATACTTTTGGCCACACAGTGACACTGAGGTCTCGGAGTTCACACAAAGCAGCAGCAGCAGCAGCAGCAGAAGAAGACGTGAACAGCTGTTTGATAACGTGTCGACATCAGAGCGGCTTCACCTCCGTCACCATGGTGATGTAACACCTGAGCGGAGGCGGGATTACTGCGGGATTAAGTGACGCTCTGTGTTCAGCTCCGAGCTGATCTCAGTTCAGAGGATTAAAACTACAGATTAACATCCTCTCAGTAATAATCTGTCATTATTAATAACGCTCAGAGGGACAGATGCATGCTGGGAAAAAGTCTGAATAAGAGGAGAGAGATGATGAAGGACCTTCACAGACACTACACTACAGACACTTCCTGAGGAATCACCAGCTCGTCGTGGTCGAAGGCTCGACGACCCCGAGGGCCAATACGTCCACACTGATGTTTGACACAACTATGGTTACAGCGAGTGTCCACACAACTCCGGTGTTACTGAACCACTTCATCCAAGGGTAGGAGGCATTGACACAGACGTTCACTTCCTGTTCGGGTCAAAAACATCACAGCTAGGTCTACACAGGATCTGTGATGTCATCCTTCTTGCGTGGAGACCCCTTTCCCATCGCCGTGACTTCCTGTGGTGATGGACAGGCCCGGTGCCGCCTGATATGTCGCCGTATTCGCTCTGTAACGACTCCCAATCTGTCTTCAGCCACCTCAATCGCCTTGTGCTCATGTGTTACTTCCTCTAACAGTTCCACCTCGCCGTCGGTCCGAGCAGAGAAATCTCTGTTTCACTGTTTCTGTTGTTGACTTGAATTATGATGAGAGCACAGAGACGGCGGCGGCGTGGAGAGACAACTGAAGCAGACCCGAGTCTAACAGTGAAGGACAGGAAGTGTGAACAGCAGCGTCCTTCACACCTGACTCTCACCTGTTCTGAGCCAAAACGCCATCAGAGGTCACCTGGATGTGATTCTTCCTGCTCAGCTGCTCCTGATAGGCTCAGCCCAAATGTCCCAGCGTCTCCGCACTAACAGACGGTGGGCAGTCAGAGAGCTGAGGGCTCCAAATCCACGATTCATCCAGTCCACAGGGACCTGAAGGGGGCATGCTGCAGACTTCACTGGTTTATTTACCCACAATTCACTGCAACACGGTCGTGACATTGTAGTTCTTTTTTCCGATGGCCGACTACAGAAATAAAACATCTGTGAATGTTAAGCAGTGACTGTGGCCCATTAAAACTGGATGTGAGTCGTGTCGGCCAGAAATAATATTCACCAACATCATGATACAGAAGTATGCAGCGATACAGGCTGTAAAACAGACGCGTCAAACATACGGCCCGGGGGCCAGAACCAGCCCGTCAAAGGGTCCAATCCGGCCCACTGGATGACGTCACACCTGATACCTGATACTTCTGAAGGCTGAGATGTGTAAGGTTTAAACAGTGAGCAGATACGTGATGTAAAATGCTGCCTCAGGTTTCTTCACCCTGAGCGGAACACAGCTCTGAAATAAGACTGAATACTGTCTGTGGTCAGATTTAAACATGTTCAACATCGTGCTAAATATTTTCAACCAGCAGCTCCAGTTTAAAACAATCAGACACTTATCTTAAAACAAAATGGTGGCGCCCTGTAAATAGTTTATAAGGCAGGAGAAGATGTACCCTGCTTCTTCAACAGCTTCAACGTCAGTGGAAAATGTATGTACAGTTGCAATCAAAATTATTCAACCCCCATTGCATATTAGGCTTATTGGCAAAATGTCCAATTTTTCAGCTGTTTGCAATAAACAAAGTAGACAAGAACAGTTGAAATAGTTTAATAAAACTAATATTACCACGGTTTTTATCCAAATTCAACACAAAATGCTACTTTTAATCACTACTGCAGTCTCAAAATTATTCAACCCCCTGTTTCAAGCACACCTGGTGCAACTAATCAAGGGCTTCATTAGTTCAAGTGTGCTTGAGATAGAACACATAAATACATGGACTGGCTAGGGGTTTGTTGAGAGTGACGTTTGATTGCATGTTAGAAATATGGCTAAGTCAAAAGAATTGTCCAAAAAGTTCAGAGAAGAAATCATTGCCTTGCACAAACAAGGAAAAGGATACAAAACAATAGCAAAAGCTCTGAATGTTCCTAGAGATACAGGTGGAAGCATAGTTCGCAAGTTCAAAGTTAAAGGAACAGTGGCTACACTACCTGGACGTGGCAGAAAGAGGAAACTATCAGCGGCTGCCACCAGATTCCTGAGAAGGCAAGTGGTCAAAAACCCTCGAGTGACTGCAAAACACCTGCAGCAAGACTTGGTGGCAGCAGGCACTGAGGTTTCAGTTTGCACAATAAGGCGCATACTAAACACTGAAGGGCTCCATGCCCGGACTCCAAGACGTACATCACTACTGACCCAAAAGCACAAGAAAAGTCGGCTCC